CACCCACCTATCAACTTAAGTTCTTAGTCAGCAGTGCAAGCTGAAGTTAAGGAATGTGACTTAGAATTGCTGGTTTTCACCACCTCTATGGATTCACCCTGGAAATTTTGCAAGATCAGTTTCTCTGGCTCAGTTCAAATAATATGAAATGCAAGAAACAGCCTCTTACCTCATGCTGGAATGAAAAATACTGTAAAGTGCATAGCAGATTAAGGATGCTGTGTGAATGATAATGGGGATTACTGAATAGTGTTGTTATAAGGTCTTTATGGAGTGTCACTACACATAGCAGAATGTGGAGAGGAACTAAGAACTGGTCCAGAATACCCAAATTCTAATTACTTTGGCACATGGAGTAATTTGTATTGCGCTCTTGTGCGCGCGCGCGCGCGCGCTCTCTCTCTCTCTCTCTCTCTCTCTCTCTCTCTCTCTCTCACACACACACACACACACACACACACACACTCAGTGGTTTATTTGAGTGGTCCATGTGGGTGGTAATACAGACTGGGCTTTGGTCCCTGGCTTTTGTCCCCACGCTTTTCACACTCTCCACTGCACCTTTTATAACAGGGAGCATTGCACAAATGGAAATAGGAATACTGTGTTCAAATTCTGGTGTCTCAGCATTTCATTTTGGCTGGCAGAGGGAGCATAGGAAGAACACAAGAGGGCGGGGTTGCTTGGGGATTGCTGAGAATTACAGCCTAAAATATCTAGAGCATGTCAAGCTAGGGGCAAGGCAGATTCTTCCTGCTCTGGATTCTGCTTGTTACTTTCTTCTGTCCACATGCAGAGTGATTTTGTGCACACTTCTCGCTTCTTTCCTGCTGTTCTCACTACACTTAGAAGATAGAAAGTGAATATAAGACGCCATCTTATAGATGTTCACAGTTGTTTCAGAAGAACTTTATGTACTGGAACTATACAGTACATAAGGGGAGAAGGCAGCAGTGGTTGGGAATGCCAATTGTGAAATGCCTGAACTAGAAATGAGGGAAAGTTCTGCAGCTCCCACATTCCAGGCCAATAGTGCCCTCCATATCCTGACAAAGGAAAGATGTTTTGATTCTCCTGGCTCAAGCATTATCTTCTTCCCCCCCACCCCCATTTTTTATTTTTTTTAGACAAAAAACCCCACCATAAATACAATACATCATAACAATAATAATATAACATAACAACACAATAATAAAAAAGTGTCCCCACCACCCCAGAGACCAATGCTACCACCATTCACATGCTATAACCATTAATAATAAATAATATACTTCAATTATTTCCATATCCCCTCCAGAAGTTCATATAATCTTGATTGGGTTTACAGCTTTTGTCTTTGTACTGTTTTTACACAATCTTCCCAGATTTCATTATATTTATTTGCTTTCATTAACCCTCTTTTAATTTTTATTTCTGTCATCAGTTTATCATTAATTACCATGTTCCATATTTCATTATAGCATTCATGCCTTTGCAAAACCCAATTCTGTTTCCATCAAACATTATTTTCTGAGCACTGAACTACTTATTATATTAAATGTGCAGACTGAACTTGCATCTTCTTTTTATATTAAAAATAATCTATGAGGCACTACTGCAGGTATAGGTTTGGGTTAATCTTTTAACCCTGAAACTTGGCCGCCTCTACGCCATCCCTCCATGTTTCCTGTTTCTTGGGAGAGAAAGTGCAATAGCAGCAAACTTCCTGAGGAAACAGGTGACTTTGGGTGGGAGTGGGGACAGGGTATTGGGATCGCTGTACAAGGGGAAAAGTCTGCTGCACCTTCCAACCTCATTTTGATACCAACTGGATGGGATATCCCCATGGGTCCTGCTAAAGAAGACAATGCAACTACAGGCTGCGTGTTTGGCGATGTTTATTTTGATCCTGAGCCTGGCAAGAGGAGCCAAGGAAGGAGAAAGATTGTGCACAAGTTCTACCCATGAGACAATATTGATGTGTAGATTTTTTTGGTTCTGACCAAAGAACCACTGTGTGCATTGTGTATATTCTAAAGAACAGGTTGGCTTAATGGTGGGGTGGAAGTGTGTGTGTGGACTAAGATGTATTGTCAGTACAACTGTATTCTTTATTTTTAATAGAAAAAAATCAAAGAGGGATAAAATCAAAGTCTAATTTCTCACCTTTATAACAATATAATTACTTTCCAGCTGTTCAATATATTTATCTCCTGTGTATTTTCTCAGTTTTCTGCTGTGCTGAACAACAATTTTGAGATCAGCAAACAAAGGCTCAGCTGCTGTAAAGAGTTTTTTTTAAACCAATTGAGAATGTAAGAGCAAGCAACTATATAAGATAAAAGGCCACTGAGGTGACTCAGTGCTGCTGGAGCTCTTGTGCTGAATTCCCTTGGCAGCTGAAGTTGCTGATCAATAACTGGTGCCATTGGAGGGGTCACCAGTAGTAACCTTGGCAATTAATAAGCTTAAGCTTAATGTTTGAGGCAGAGAAAAAGATGGGATGTTTCAGAGTACTTGGTTTTGGTGGGCACAGGATTTGCCACTTTGCAATTTTTCTTTATATTGTTGTTCTTACAAGTCATTCTTTGGATGATAAATGTAATAAAAATGGATTTTAGCTGCCTCAACTCATGAGCTTTGGAGTGTCCAGCTCCAGTCCAGAGACACAAGTCTGAATCCTCCCCCTCATTCAGTTTATGTCATAACACCTACTTCCATCTTATGCTGATAAATTAGATGTAGGATAGTTCAAGAATTAACCTAAGCTTCCTCTTTTGTGCCTTTAATTGCATCCTTTTAAACTTCTCTTATTATGGTTACTATAATGCTGCAGTTTCATTTCCCAAAGGGGACTTCTCTAGGTCTGTAGTACACATGCTAATATGCATACATTGGCCTAGAAACCATCACTGCTCTATAATTTTCTATTAGTTCTGTTGTCCAGTGGGATGGACAACAGAATGGAGGATGGACATCTTATGGAAACAAATATGCTAGAGTTGAATAGCATATGAACTGGGTCTCTGAGAAAGTAATATGAAATTTTGTCTTCAGAAAGCACAGCTTATGTAGAGCAATGTTGGTGTATTGCAGAAAAAAACAACAAAAATTCTCCTTGCATGGTAAAGACTAACAAGTTTATTCTAGTGTAAGCTTTTTTGGCAGAATGATCCATTGGTACCTAACTAGCATATAGAGGGGCTAGGATTGTTTGGATACCAAGCTCCAAGCTCAGAAAAGAGTACCTACCTAGGAGTTGGCAATCTGTGATCAGACACCTGCCCCCCCTCCCCGCATTCACTTGCAGCTGCTGTGGAAAGAGCCATGCTGGTTCTTTCTCTGACCTTTTGAGTGACCTTGGAAAAGGGTTCCTGGAGATGGAGAGAGGAGAAGACCATTGCTGCCAAGATATGACACATCTTGGCAGTGACTCAGCCTCCTTCCCTCCCACCATATGAAGTGCAATGTTTAGACAGCTGGAATCAATCATAGAATGCACATAGTCCTCCAAGTTCAAATGGGTGACAGCCATCTGCATTGGTTTGTACCCTAAGTTGGCCACAGTCCATGAAAGCTTGTGTCACAATACATTTTAAGGTGTCATGAGACTTGGTTGTATAGGTGGAGTATGCTAAAGTTGCCGACTATAAATGAAAGTGTTACTGGATTGTCCCAGTAAAAAACTGAGCCAGTCTCCTGAAAAACAGGAAATCAATTATCAGTCAGTCTAGATCACACACACACACCCTTTGATAGCAAGGAAACTTCGCTTCATTCTGTACCCATTAGAGTTGGAGTGATGTGTTCTGTTCTGGGTTCCACACTTTGAATATATACTAACTGGAACAGGTTTACTAGAGGGTCATTAAGATAGTCAAATCCTATGAGGAAAGGTTGAAGGAATTGGGTATATTTAATCTAGAGAAGATAAGGCCTCTGAGAATGGAGTGGTTGGGACATGATCACTCTATAAATGGGGTTTAATTCCACTAAGTGACTACATTTAACTCTTTAAGTGTGTTTATGGAATTCACTCTCCAGAGAAATACTCCTGGTGCTGATGTTACACATCTTCTGGTTCCAGGAAAAACCCTTTTTGTTCACCCAGTATTTTAATTGTTAAGTGATTCATTTTTAAAAAAATATTATACTTGATTTTATGTACTTGCCAGGTTGCTGTTTATTTAAGACACTGTTTTAGTTGTTTATGTTTATTTGACTTTTGTTTATTATTTACTTTATTTTTGTTCTTGTTGGTTGCTAAAGTGCAGGACCGCTGAAATACATTATTGTAATGTATTATGATTATTTTGCCATTTTATTTTATTGTATTTTTAATCTAGATTTATTTTTAAGTTTGTAAACTGTTCTGAGAGCAAAATTGGCTATAGAGGACAATATATAAAGGCCTAGATAAATATAAATGGCTCAAAAAGTACTATGAGGAAAAGGGCAAGGTATTTTCTGCTACCGAAGAGGGCAATACTAAATCTGCTGGTCTGAAACCATAAAATGATATTATTTCATTTGAAAATGAGAGAAAACTTCTTTAAATTCAGTTGGACAATGAAGCCAATTACCTAAGGAGTGGACAAAATCTAAAATAATAATAATTAATAATATATAGCCATTTGTTGGAAATGTTCCAACATTCTAGCATTGTGCAGGGTTTGAAAGACGATGCCTTACAAGAATTCTTCATTGAATTCTTTATTTCAAATGTTTGAAATATATGTTTCAATATTTGAAACATCACTAAGAGTGATGGTCTTCTGGCCACATGAATCATTTGAAATGACAAAGCAGCACCCCTGGTAGCAACCTCAAGTTCCGTTGAGGCTTTCTCCCTGCAGATGATCTCTGGGACACACAAGCCCTCTATGGAGAGGCACCACTTCTTCCCTCAGGGAGCCTCTTAAATTGTTTTTTGCTTCTAGGAATTGATATTCCATCCCTTTCTACTTGGAACCCAGATGCAATAGCATGTAATGATATATTTGTTTATCTGTCTCTAACAGATCTGGAAAATTTCAAAACCAGGACAAGAAGTACGGTGTCAGTCCGGCAGGGGCAAGGAATGGTGCTACTGTGTGGTCCACCACCACATTCTGGAGGTGAGTAGCATAAATATCATCAGCTCAGTATCTAAATTCCTCTGCCCCTTTGAAAATAAAGAAATGTTAATAAATGCAGGTAAGCATCATTGAAATAGGTGGCATTTAAAAATGAGTAAATATTGAGAGATAGTGATGCATAATTTGCAAATGGTGTCACCTTAGATCTTTGTACTGATAGACTGAATCCTGACAAACCCACTATAGATGCAAGAGTACTTTTTGTAACTTGAACTTCCATTCAGAATTGAAAGGGGGCTGTGGGCCACCTATTCCAAGCCCTTTGCTTGATGTAGGAGACACTGCATACATCAACAAATGTTTTCCCACCTCTGCTGAAGGACTTTGCAGAGAAGGAAAACTCGTTCCTACAACCCCCAAACATCCAATTGGATAAGTCATGCATTATCTTCTTGTAAAGGCATGCATTATCTTCTTGTAAATATCTTCTGGGCATATTGTTGATGAGCACTATAAGATAAAATAAGCATAATAAAATAAGTATACTAGATAATATTTGAAAACACACTGAGATTCATAAGAATCTTAAACGTGAACACATAAAGCAAATGGAATTTGTTCTAGCAACAGCTTTCTGTCAACTTAACTGAACTGGGTTCTGAATTGTCATCCTACAGCCTTTTTTTTTTTTTTTTTTTCTAAAAGTCTATTTTGTTTCCACACAGGCAGGCAGTTGGCAACCATATGAATGGAAGGCTGGACTACATGAACCTTTGCTCTGATCCAGCATGACTCTTCTTATGTTCATATATTCTTAGGTTCAACTTTGTATACTGTTTACTGGCTGCATTAATGCTTGAAGGTTTCCTTTGTGTCTCAATTTTCCTTAAGGCAATATATTTTATTACGGATTGGATACTCTTCTGTCTTCATTTCATAAAAGAATATCCTACAGCCAATAGATATAATACTTTTAGACTAATTCATATACATGGTATTGAATGCCCTCTAGATCTTCAGTGTAACTTCTTTTTTAAAAAAATTCTACGTCTTCACTTCTCTGACTCAAGGAAACTGTTCATTTTGCACAATGCAAAATGCTTCTTTCTTTTCTGGGGACGTGGAATGTTTATCAAAGCCTGTTCTGTAACTGGAGCCATCTTCATTGATGCTGTTTCTCAGAAAATGAAGTTAACAAGGAAGTTGCATTAGCAACAGTCAAAAAGTCAATGTTAGCTTGGTGGCGGATGGCAAAATGAACAGACAAACAAAATGATCACGTTTCAGAGAGGATTCTCTACCAAAACAATGATAGCTAAGAGCATAACAAAATATTCTTCTCTATTGTCGCCTAAACGATGATGTAAAATTATGTCATTATGTTAAACTAGAGTTTTAAGCTCTCTGTCAATTGCACAAAAAGACCTAATGTAAATGCTGCTGTAACAAGCTAGCACATGGTGGCTGCCTTAAGTTGGTAATTACCAGTCCAAAAGAGAACCACACACTCACCACACCACAGTAAATCCATGGTTAGGAACAAGTTTCTCTAAAGAGGCAGCTTCAGGGGGTACCATTTAAAACAGCTACAAAACATGGTGTACACGTGATGAACCTCCTATAGGAGACTAGTAATTTTAAACTACAGTGTCTGCCCTTACATATTTAAGGGCCTAGAAATGCCTCCTTGGTGTTTGAGGAGCTGGAAGAAACAGTATCCTTATCTGATCACATGGATCCATAAAGAAGAAAGGAAGAAAGAAATGTTAAGCATCCTGAGCATATCATGATTTCTGCCAACACTTACAAACCGGAAGTTCATTTCATTCAAAATGTTTTCCTACTCTACATGTTTATTAAATGATTTAGCCCGGGGTACACAGCCTGCGACTTGGGAGGGCTGCATGCCCCTGACCCAATTCCTTAGATATATTCCCAAAGGTAACTCCTATTGCCAAATTTCCTACCCCAGCAATCCCAGTACAGATCACTCCATTGCAATGCTTCAGTAATGCAGAAAAGCAGAAAATTTGGGGGCTGACAGAGTAGGAACCAGGTCATTGGTTGCAGAAGGCCCTATGTACACTTTTTGGCATCAGCAGGCAAAGTAATTTAGGTAACAGCCATACAAAAGACCTAGTCCTGAGCTCTTAGGGAGCCATTGCCAGTGAGAGAAGAGGCAATGCTGAGCCTTTCTGCAGTATTTCCATATCTTTGGAATGAGCTGCCAACAGCGGTCCAGCCGACCTCCCAGTTTATCTGGAAGGAGTCAGTCTCTGTCCTTATGCACAGGCTGAACTGGGCAAGCTTGACCATATCCCAGTTGTCTGTCCCATAGATTGTCCCTCACAACTGGTAGTGCTTGCGTTGTGAGTCGTTGATGCTGGCTCTGCAGGAAAGCACACCCCATCACTGATAGATTTTAAGAAGGCCCTAAAGACCTACATCTTTACTCTGGTCTTCCTCTTCCTGATTGTCTTTAATCCAGCTGGGTTATAGCATCTCTGAAGTCCTATGTTTGTTGTTTAATGTAAATGTTGCTGCTTTCATAATAGCATTTTAAAAAAATGAAAGTTATGCATTTTAAAATTGTACGTAGCTGTGAGAGAGTGTATAAATATTTTAAATCAATGAATGGATAGATAGACTAATGCTCGTCAGCAATATCAGACAGTTCAACTTTATACTGAGGACAGCAATATAGATGTTTTGTTGTCAGTAAAGCAGGATTATCTGCAGGGCTTGGGGCCCTTTCAGGATATCTGAGCTCCTTTCCTTATTTTACAAGCTTCCATTAAGAAAGGGAATAAAATGCAAACAGCAATATTAACATAGGACCCTTATTAGGACCAACTACATGCCACAAAGGAATGGCCCACAAAATGGCTGCAAGTCCTTAGGCTTGATTAAATAAAAGTGGTCATGGGGAGGAAAAATGCAGGTAAAAGTTACGGTAGGAGCCCAGCTGCAATATGTGGCAAGATGGTCTTTATGCAAGAGTGCCTCTAAACCTGTGGAAGGAACACTGGAAAAAACCCTTCATTCATTTGTAGGAATATAGATAAGACAACTTAGGTATGGGACAGTGGATGTAAGTGTGAACTCGAATTGCTTCACAGATGTCCTTCAATGCCTAAAGCCTTCCATGTAAATTGGGAAAATATTGCTTCCTTTTGATTGTCCACTAGACTGATCTTTTCCTCTTTCAGTAACTATGAAATTAATGTTCATCATTCTCAAGATATTCACTCCTCTCCTAACCCTTGCATTTAGCATTTGCTTTTATCACATTTGCTAAGTGATCAGAATATTCCTGCATGTAACACCTCCACTTTTCTGTGAAAACTCCTTGGTTTTGTATTTTTTGTTCCCTACTGGACTATTTCAGCATAATCACAATGGCTATTGCAGTGCTGCTACCAAGGATATGCTGATAGCTTGTTTTCTCTTCACATAATCACATCTAAATAGGGAAATGAGGTTTATAAAATAAATGCCCTGAGAGATTCTTTAGAAATACACTTCCATGATTAACCTACCAGCAAGGAGTCAGAATTTGGTTTCTTGAACAACAGAGCAAGCTATAGAGTCTGTTACATGAGTATCATATTCCAGGAAACTTCCAGGGAATCCAGAGAGTGTTCAGAGAGTTAGTGATTGAATATAGAATGTGCACAGTGCTGTCCATAGTATGGTGAATTAACTTGTACTCTCCCCTGAAGCACAATCTCGAATCCATCCCACACCCCACCCCTGCTGTAGTTTCCTGGGCCTAGAAAAAAACTCTGCTGCAGGTTCAGAAACCCTCTGAATGGCCTTAATCCCAGTGGATTGCTACCTGTTAGAAGTCAACAATTTTAGAGACTTCCAAGAATCCTATGCCATGCCAGGCTGCTGCCAACAGGCAAATGAGCTAAAGAAGCAATAATCACCCTTTTATCCACCTTCTGTACTTTTTACTAGATAGATTGGGAATCGATGCAGGCTTGGGTAGATTCTTTCCCTTCCTCGTACCAGTATACCTCCTTTTTCTCTTCCCATTCAAAGCATAGTGGAGAGCCTCTAAATCAACCCCATTTCAGCTCTGAACTGACTCAGTGGCTTTACAGTAGCCTCTGTCACACAGCCCTACATGCTGTCTATACTGAGGGGCTAAATGCTAGTATATTTTACAAGATGTCTCTAAGGATTACTGAGATTACATACTTAAAGTACTATGAACAGTTAAAGAGAGTTGTACAGTTAAAATACTAACGTATTGATATGTTTATTGCACCCTCCATTTTTATCCCCAACATTTACTTCTCTCTTCACATTGGAACTTACTACATTCCCTAGCCTCCTGCTTTGTATCAGATACCCACACCTAAAGGAGAATGGAGTAAAAGCTGGAAAGAAGACGTATCCATGTAAACACCATGTACCAGATTCAACCTGTAATGTCCCTTCAGATAACCTTGATTCATAGGGAAGGTTCCTTAAAGATTGGTAGGCTCTGTGGAAGATGGTCCACAAAAGTTTACGCTATAATAAATCTGGTAGTCTTAAGATGCAACAGACAAACACAACTTCCTTTTAGAATCACAGGGATGTCACTGAGCTGCAACTGAATGGTAATCGAATAGTAGGAAGATAGTGTTTAGATATATCCACTACTATCATGAACAGAGGATTCAGCACCAGAGAAAGAAAGCCAAAAGTTTCTAGTTCTTGTGGTTTTCTTGTGGTAGGAAAATGCTTTTCTATTTTTGAAGCTAAAAGCTGTGCAATGTAAATTGAGCTGGTTGGCTCATTGTTGTTGCTCTTGTTTAAGTGTTGCAGGAGGAAATATTAAGTGTAAATTTATTCAAAGTGATGACTAAGTAACACCAGAATCATACTTCTATTTTTTTTCCTTCTGGTATGACATGGTGGCTGTGAACTGAGTACCCATTTTTTCATGCAGGAAAAGCAGTGAATTAAATCCTTTACCTCTTATCACATTGTATGGACAATTAGCTGGTAATCATTCTATTCTCTCAGTGGTATAACTTCAATTA